CACGTCACACGCACGCACACATACACACGCACGCAACGCACGCACGCACGCACGCATGCACGCACGCACACACACGCACACATGAACGCATGCACGCACGCACGCACCCGCACTCTTACACTATAGCAAACGGTGTGGGTTACGATAAACAGAAGTTCCTTCCTACATATAAATTATATTGCCATTTTGAAGACATTAGCATGCAGAAAGAATGTAGACACGGTATTAATTATACCCCTCGTAATATTACCAGAACTTTTTACACGCCAATCATTTTTTCCATACTATTAATACATTAACCGCTAAGAATTGCGGATGTTATTATACAAACAAGTGCCGCAGCGCTCAACTGGCGTAGTGTACTGTAGCCAGGTATTCTTCTGATAAACTCACTGGCAACCGAATCAGATGAGACGGGATACCAGAGAAGTGTTGCCGAAAGAGATGTTGATCCTATAACTGTGAGCGAGAATCTTGCGCGCAGTTCCGCGGCAAGGCGCACGCGACCGCGGCCAACGTCCTACGACAGTATGCAGCGCTGGCAGCTATGGCTCCGTGCTCCGAATCCATAGGTCGGCGCACGCGATCCATAGCTGCCAGCGAACAGTCCGCATTTTAGCGGGGGACACAGGGGCAGACATTGGGACGTGGGAGGAATTCGCGACTTACATGGGGGTCGTACAGATGGGGGGGGGAGGCGAGAGCAAAGCTTTTGATTTCCCGTGGTTCATTTCGTGTGGTGTTAGGCGTTTTCACTATAAGTTCCAAATATAAAAAGTTCTAAACAAAGAAAAATCCGACCATTATTTAATGCAAAATTTGATCAAATAGTCATAGGAAATAGTACGCGGATAGTGCGCCCAGTTACCTCTTTCAAATCATACGCTGTTTAAGAATTGCCATTCGCTGCATTTCCCTGGAGCTCCGCCCACTTTAAAAAGTGGTAGCATTGTGCAGTGGTATCGTGAGTGTACGAACGAGTTAGTATTTTGATTTTGGATTTTCGATGACAGCAGTAAGGCGAAAGTGCAACATTTCAATACAGTTACTTCATTAGCATTATATATAGTATGTAATCATTTCCTGCGAGGTTCTTTTTGTATATATAAACAATTAAGACATTATCTGCCATCTCTATCATCTATGTGACCTTGCCTTATATCATATGCACCCCTAGTCTGCCAAATGCAGACGTTATAACCTCCGCTTTGCTAATGTGAGGGTGCGGGTTTATCATCACCCCCCATTACTGCGATCTGTGTCGGTCGACTAATGCACCCCTACCCTACAATCTCCCACTGCCATTGTCATTGTCAGTATCAGGAAGTAGGTAGAGTAAATTGCTTGCTATATAAGCAGGGGTTGTCTGTATAGGGGTATTGTAACCCTAGCAATACCGTTTCTTGGAACATGGAACATGGAACATTTATAATAAATGTAATAGGCTAGCTATCTAATATATATTTGAGTTCGTATGTATGTATCTTCCCTATAGGCGGCCAATCCGCCCAAGCGATCTGGATGCAATTTTCACAGGGCCATCTCTTATACCCGGGAGATGTTCGTAGCTGAAAAAAACCTGCCAAACCGTCAAACTCACCGAAAAATCCCGTGAAAAACCCCTCAATTCGGCAATCTTCACACATTGTCAGCACTGACTGTACAGTGCTGCCACACACAGAAAAAATCGATCACTCACTTCCATCAGCTGCTGGTATTGTGAAACCGAAACCGGTACAACAGAGCACAACCAGATGAGACGGGATACTAGAGAAGCGTGCCGAAAGGAGGTGTTGACCCGAAGTGCTGAGCGCAGATCTTGCGCGCAGTTCCACGGCAAGGCGCACGCGACCGCGGGAACGTCCTACGACAGTATGCAGCGTTGGAGCTATGGATCCATGCGCCCGAATGCTCTAGGCCGGCAGCAGCGCACCATCAGCTGCAGCGAACAGTCCACAATTTTAGTGGGGACACAGAGGGCACGACTTTGGGACGTGAACAGTTTCACTTGTTATAAAACATAATGTCTCTGTTTCCGTAACCGAGCTGTGTCACGCGATCCCAGAACGACTGACGAAATTTTCGCGTTCGCGAACCTTGCCAGTAATGGAAATGGCTGCAAGGACAAAGGCTATATAGACTGGGACTCGCTCCACCTCGATTACCCATCGAGTGACTAAAGCTAAGCCGAGAGGTGGAAGCGAGTGCCAGTCTATGGGCTACAGGCGGCGCGCAGGCGGCGCAGTGCTTTCCAACTCGCCGTACGAGCCTCGACATTGGAACGTTGCAAAAACGGTGCAGTGTTGTGGCTGAAGCCATTTCCATTACTGGGCAAGGTTCGCGAACGCGAGATTCGTCAGTCTTTGGTGTGATCGAGACACAGCTCGGGGCGCGCGGGGGTTACTAGTGGACTACAGCGACATTATTTTCCTGGGGCTTGGCCGGTATACTTACACAGATCTGGGCGTGGCTGGAACGCGGGTGGGTGCAACGCGACTGTGCTTCAGGGAGAATACAAGATGGAGCTGTTGAAATGTGTATTCGTGCGGCTCTCGTTGAAAGTTTCAAATGAATGGTGAAGGCTGCGACGTGCGTGTGCGCGTGCGTGTGCGTGCGGTGTGTGTGCGTGTGTGTGCATGTGTGTATGCGTGTGTGGCCTTGGCCTTGGAACTTTTTATTACATTGATGCCTGCAGTGTGTATGGCTAATCGCCTGGATCTTAGAAGAGCAGATCTAAACCATATGTCTAAAAAAGCCTTTCCTGCATCATTAGTCATTCACTGCTCAATGATTAGAAATTGCTTGGGGATCTTATATAGTTTAATTGGTTACATGTATGATTAACTGAGTCTTTAGCTGGGAACAAGAGGTGGATCACCTCGCATAATCCAGTAGTAAAACAACGTTACGGCATACAACTTTTTTATCAACAGATATTTGCTACATATTTTTGGTACTGCCAAGTTAGTAAATGGTCCAATGTGTTATCATAGTCAAATTTGATAAACTCTTATTTCCTTTATTATTTCTTCTTTACTTATACCCTAACCCTAATTATACACTGTCTTTGATTACCATCTCAGCAAAGCTGCTTGCTGTTCAAAGCTGGTATATGCATATAAAGACAAACAAGCTATGTAATGATGAACCCAAACCTAAACTGCTACACACAATTCAATTTACAGACCTACCTAGTAGATATAGGCATAGTGAATTATATTGGTGGCCATTCAAGTGCATTAAAGTATAGATTATGTGTTACCTTATAGATCGTCCTCCTCTTTGCTAGATATGATTTTAATCGTAAATATACATAAATGTATGCACACATGCACACACACCACGCACGCACGCACGCACGCACGCACGCACGAGCCTGCATACATGCTTGCCCATACATACACGCATTATGATATATATCTCATAATGTTGGTAAATAGTTAAACCACATCAGTGGTGCTAAAGATGTATAAGAACTGAAAACAAAAGTATGCATGTGCTTGCACCAGTGGTTATTTTGAAACTTCTCCTTGCAGGCATTGATGTTGATGCAGCCAGAAATGAGGAACAAAATCTGATGCTGGCTGATGCGAGACAGTGGCTTAACCTGGGAGCAGTCACAGAGCGAGTACATCCCGTGACAAAGGCTACTGCACTCCATGTAGCTGCATCAAAGGGTTACATAAATGTCATGATGTAAGCAAATAAAGAATATATATAGACTGGCTCCCCAGTTTCAAGTCGTTGTTGAATTGACATTATAGGGAGCAGCCACAGGGAAGTTAATATGAATTCAGTTTACCATTTTTATATCATGTACATATTATCAATTATTTTTTATTATTAAAACGTATGACCTTTGCTTATTTCAAGTAACAACAAGGCAAATGCTGCATATTTGCAGTATTGCAAGTAACAAAGCAAATGCTGCATATTTGCATAACACTGCGCTATCACCATTAGGTCGCAATCAAAACAAAATATATGCTCGCTCCTTAGGTCATTGCTAATACCTTATTGGTGAATCGTGTTCTAGCCTTCTACTGCAGGCAGGGGCTAACACAGAAGCGCAGGACTTGGAGGGCTGGACACCGCTGCATGCGGCCGTATACTGGGGCCAGCGAGATGCGTGTGAGGTGCTGGCCATGCACCGGTGCAGCATGCGTGCCAAGGACTTCATGGTATCCCTTATTCCACATCTGTTAAATTTGGCATGTTGTTGTTGGAATTGGTATGATACAGGAAATTTATTGGAATTAAATCTGATAATTTTGGCAGGAGCAGAAAGTGCAAGTCAGTTTCATAAAAAAAAGTTATATAAAAAATTAATAGTATATAAAATATAAATATAGAGATTTGTTTAATAGTTGTTAATATGGTAACAACACTTTTGTTTGGTTTATTGCTAAAATTATTGATGTGAGCAAGTTTGAATGAAATCAAAAAGGTTTAACCATCAAAATAAGATACACAAATTGTTAATTTTAGATATTACTAATAATATCTGTAACAACGTACAAGTATTCGTAGGTCAATATAATTTCCTAGATGTTTCAGTTGTTTTTTTAATTTCTTCTTGTAGGGCCAAACGGCTTTTGACATAGCAGATTCGGATATTATCATGTTCCTTTTGCAATTGCAAAGCAAGCAATCGGCAGTGAGTATTTTCGTAGTGTGCAGTGCATGTATGTTTATAAGCGGTATCCATCTGTTATCTGACAATCATCACCCTTGAAACTTTTCATGTATGAGATGTATGTTCTTCGTGAAGTGAATTAGCAGCACTACCCTGGGGGCAATCTTTCATGTAGTGTATACTATATTTGAATTGCAACAAAATCAACTTTTTATCTAAGGAGTTTTATTGAATTTTCGTTAAGATTTAGATGCTTGGATACATGTGCAGTTGAAACGTGTCCTGCTTGGTATTAGATAGTACATAATTAATTTTGTTGCAGCTATCTCCGAAGCCTGAACAGGAACTAAAATTCCCCCGACAGATTCTGCCTGTGAAGAGAAGGTAAAATAATAAAAAACCATATAAAAATATGCAAAAAATTATTATTTTACTCTATGGCTTTGTAAGTAACAAAACATTACTCACCACTTTCTAGCAGCAACCTAAAATCGAATGTAACATACAGCAGTCCACTGTCAGTCTGATAGGAATTGTATGCAAACCATGTGTCTCCAGTAACCTAACTAGAGAACACTCGGCATGTAAAAAATACTACAGATAATGGTCAATTAGTGATCACAAGTTTTCTAAAAAAGAGCTTTCCCTAGTATTAGGGTAAGGTCAGTAACATTTCTTGCTGACTTGCATCAGAGATTATTAATGACAAATGTTAATAATGAAATAATTAATGAAAATAATTATGAATGGGTTAATAATGAATAATGTCATTATTAACCACTGCTTCCATTGATAGGACCTCGTTAACGAGAATGAGCGTTGTCGACAAGAGTCACGTGGCTGACAAGGAAAAACAGCAAGAGCGATCACTCCATAATCAGAAACTTGCGCAGCATGACTTGCATCCCATTCAGAATGGAGATGCACGGATTGCCTCCTGTCCAGGTAACTTGTTCTTCCGGAGATGGTAACTGACGGAACATCCCAACATCCTATACTCGTGTGATCAGTAATGTGTTGTTTGAACTTTGATATGGAGTTGATTATTATTGAGTGGAAAGTAGTTTGGGTTTAATACGTTGGAAGATCAAGTATTGATGAGAAAGACAATGATATGGTTCAATTATAAAGCCGAATTTTAATTCATTAAAAATGCACAGGTAACGAGCTGGTGCTAGTTGGTGTCTAGGCAGCTAATACATTCATTAAATAAGTTCATTCGGTTTGTAGATAATAGATCTATCTTGGTTAATTTTTACTCAATCGTGTTTGTATAAAACGTACTGCTGACGTTTCGCCTCCTATCAGGAGGCTTTCTCAAAGCTGACTGAAGTTATCAGTGTGGACGAGTACTCCTGCAAGGAACATAAATAAAAACAAAATTGCATATGTTCTTGAGTGTATTTAATACCTTTATTATTAGCCTATCTTGCACTGAAATTGGTTTACAGCTATCTACTATCGTATTACTGTAAATTGTAATCAAACACTGTTGATCCAGAGGCTGCTGTCATGTTGTCACATCTATGTAGGCGTATTTAATTTGCGGAGCAATACAAGTGACAACTGCTCCAATCCTCCGCTCAGCAGTGATGTGAGAAGCCTAGTGCCATAAACACGTAGTAGTCACATATGCATGTAACCAAAGGCCGTATGCACACAATCGCACTGTGTTGGCAGGCGAATACATGTCTTACAAGATCGTAGATGCATTGCAAACTAAGGAAATATGTACTTGATGATATTTCTTGCTCGTGAGATCAAAACATTGCAATCCCTGCTGAGTCAAATGAGGAGGATTGGAGCGGTTGTCGCTAGTGTCGTTAAATAAAATACGCCCACATAGACGTGACAACATGACGAAAAGCCTTCGAATCAACACCGTGTTTGAATACAATTTCCAGCAATACGACAGTAAAGAGATAGACATCGATTTCGGTACAAGATAGGCGATTAATAAAGGTATGAAATAAGCTCAAGAACATATACATTTTTTGTTTTTATTAATGCCAAAATTTGAAGTGGAACATCGGTAGTAACGTGGGAAAATGCGTGTCAAACTTCTTTGAGTATATGTATATATATATTTTTTTAATATCTCCTTGTTTCAGAACCAAACAATAATCGAATTACACCAGCCCTTCCCAGTCTGTCAGAAGAAAATCATGCCCACCAGGTAATTTGGTCTCAAGTGTATTGATTAGCCATTTCTTTTTACAGCTGGATAATTTATTTTATATTCCTTAATCTTGATTCCTAAATATGTTTAGTGAACTTTGTTGACTTCTATCAACGTAATATTGCAGCATTATCTGTTGCTATGCTGCATGAACCTCTAAATTTTTGTTGCATGTGATGCTAATAGATATTTGTTACCACTGCCACATTATTTTCTATCATGCTATTGACCTCAAACAGTCGAAACACTTAAAATTTCAAAAAACAATTTAAAGGGATAAACTACACCCTGGAATTTGATGGTATATTATGATAGTAAGTGCATAAATAATAGTATATGCCCACAAATTTCTATGATCACACTTTCACATTTGCATAAAACAATAGTCAGTTTCGAAATCTTTATTTTTGACCAGCGACAAGACACCTCGCGATTGTGACCCTGAGGTCCACCCTGACGAAGTTGCGCTTATGCGAATTTATTTTGCACGTAACAGACCGAAGGCTAATCACAAAAGTGCAATGATATTTATACCTAACTGCAATTTAACCGAACAATTTTTATTTTAGGACAAATTCGTTCATATTATACGGAAATTAAGAGTTGTGTATAAGATATCGCAATCCTTCTCCTCTTAAATTAATAAATAAGAAACACCCTCGGTCTGTAACCTACAGCCGAAAAGCCGTGATGCACAACTTTGAAAGTGGATGCGCTGGTAGTGGCGCCACCGTCGTTGTAAGCAGTGGTATAGGCGTTAGTTTTAAAACATGAAAAAAAAATTCACAATTAATATTGAACAATTGAAATTTTTAAGTAGCGTAATTTTAACCTATTTTAACTGAAAATAGGTAAGGAACCAAGGGAGATGTGTCCCTTTAAGGTTTTGTAATATTATTTCTGCTCATTACTGCCAGATGTCAGTATAGGTTAGTTCCTTGTCTGTTTCCTTACCGTCGATAAGAAGAGATGTTTGCTCTCCTTTTGTGCAGACCATGCCTCGCATATCTGAAGTAACAGGCAGTACTTCCGACAAATCTGAATCATCGCGCAGGAGTGCGCCCGTGATCCCTGGTGATATGGCGAATTTGTTAAATCAGAGAGTACGCCAGGGAGTGCCTGGGCAGAGCTTCCCTGCAAACCCAGCAGTAGGCAGAGATAAGATAGATCAGGTACGTGCAGAAGTACAAACCCCATCGTGCCAAAATGATCCAGTCAAGGTAAATCAGAATTATGCTGCATTGTGACTTGTGAGGCTATCTCACCCAATCCCATACATGTGTGTAATGAGAAATGTTACTTTCAGCTTGTAACTAAGGGGTGTCATAGTGTAATATGGAATGTTCTATACTAACTCATTTCACACTTGGAAGTATAACTGTAGCAGAAGTACTCAATGCTCATTTATAAAATCTGTAAAATCTTTTAAATTTTAATACAATACTGTGATATACTGTGCTCTTTGTTTGTAAATTTACGCAAGAATTGTAACTGCTATGTATTATTCAAATACATAAGTAGAAGCTCTTGTCGAAATAATCAATATTCCAGTTATTAGCTGGCCATTTAATTAGGCTGATGAAAGTAAGAATCCTTACTCTTTTTCTGTCTCGTGAACAATGGGTCCGGCAGTCAGTTGACCTGTTCTCAACTCACTGATTTTTTTGCCAGATCCACTGATTTTGACCATTGCTGTCAGTAATGGACGCTGAGTGCCTATTTGTTGAAAAAAGTAGTGTCGGACAATGTGTGTGGCGCGCAAGTAAAATCTGCTGGACCTGCCCAACAGTCCGACCGTTCCTACCAATTTTTGCATTCTCTGTATTTTGTCCTTTCCACTGCGTGTAGATGGCACTGTATATGTACCGCCTGTGCACAAATCACAGCTATAATGTGTAGATGGCACCATATAACTTCAAACCGTTGACAAATCATTATTATAGTATGTATATAGTGTTGCGTACATTCCAGTAGTGTACATATCTTGTTTATAGACTGTATATGGCACTGTATATTGCACCCACAGCAGGAGCAGAAACTGGGCTGGAGAAGGACTGATGGTCCCGCCCCTGCTATCGTAGACACTCAGCCGGAAGTCAACAACAACCTCTGTACTCCAACACAGTCTGTCGGATCAACCCTCAGCATTCCTGAAGAGACCTCTGAAGAGGTACCTATAGGTCATGTCGATTTTAATCACATACAGTCACCCCGTTTCGTATCCAGGTCATAACAGGCTGTTGCTGTGTGATTGTTGATGCTCGTGTTTTAGTTGTTGATATGTAAGTCTTGGGGAAACCACACTGAGCAAATATTGGATGCATTATTTTGTGTAGACTATATATGCTGAAACACCTGTTTGTACTGATGAGTGAGTTCCCAGTGTCATAGTGCAGATGTTTAGAGTCTTTAAGAATTGTATTTTATTGACAACTACTTTTTATTTTAGAGAGAACGTAGGCTAGGGCGCCCCACTCGCTCATTGTCATTAGATGTTAGTCCGCAGACATTAGGCAGTAAAGATGCCCTTATTGGGTAAGTATCTGTATTATTGTAGACAGTGTTCATTGGTATGCTAACACTAACACTGCCAAAATGGAGGCTAGGGTATTAATTTTGTGATAATGGAATTTTATTTTCTGGTAACTATTGTAACGTTTGTAGTTTGATCAAAAGTCTTCAGCATATTCAGTCATCTGTGTGTTTCATTTTATTGCCAATCTTTAACTGTCATGTGCTGTGACAGAGGTGTTTGTAAAATAGTCAATCTCTCTAATATAACATCATGTAACTGTTTGCTCACAGATGTGTTGATGCCTACGCATTCCAAATTGAGCAAAATCTAGCATATTTGAGAGTTGTATGAAACTGTATTTGCACATTTTCATGGGCATGGAAAGCGAGGCTCCAATTACAGGATCATCTGGCGATACTTCACTGACAACAAGACCGATCAGGTTAAACACAAATTTAAAATACGTAGGATGTGCTCTTATTATCACATGCCTGCATGCATGAACGTGTATTCATTATTGTAATATTATAAAGTCAAATATTCATTGTTAGCGTATAAAAAAAGAAGAAGTTATCTCTTTGAGCAGTTAGCATTGGTAATATGGTTGTTTTTGGCTGTCTGAGGCCAAAGGTTTCTGGAGTAGCTTCCTAGAATTTTACCTCACCACCCGCTTTCTTGCGTTAACCATCTTTTTTATCATAAATTTTCGTACTTTTCCCCACGCCATGCAGTCAAGGTCATATGTAACATGGTTAATAAAAATGCAACAGTTATAAGCTATGAAGGCCAATAACAACAACAACAACAATAATAATAATAATAATAATAGTTTAATTAACAGACTTGACAATTAATGCAGGTCGCTGCAGCCACCGTCCCCGGACGATGAAGCGGAGACCGTGCGACGGTCTAAATCCCGCCTGGCTCGTCAGACGCGCCGCTCGACACAGGGCATTACGGCTGAGGACGTAGCAGAAGCTCAGGCTCGGATGAGCCAGCTGAGAAAGACTTCTCAACAGCAGACAGATCAACAGGACGCAGCCACGAAAGAGAAGCAGAAGGAAGTGGGGAGGAGCCAAGAGAAGGATGCAGGGAGGATTCAGGATAATGTGGAGGGGCAGGAGAGGGAAGTGGAGAGCAGTCAGAAGAAAGATGTTGGGAGGAGCCAGGAGAAGGAAGCGGTCAGGAGTCAGAAGAAGGAAGAAGAGAAGCAAGCGGAACTGGAAAAGAAAAAGGAAGTCAAACCGAAAAGCACACCGTTGTCCACATTCACGGCTAAACTTAGAAAGCAGGAATCCAAAGAGAAGAAGTCGAACCAGGCTCCGCAATCACCAGCACGCAGCTACACTGCGAGGCTGCCACTCACTAAGCGGCCACCACCCGCCAGTACGTCCGGCCAACAACTGCTGACAGTTAGTGCTCTCGTGCCACCGGCGCGAAAGATCTCACAGGAGTTACCATCGGCAGAAGTGTCTGCCATTCTCTCTCTCACACCGTTAACAAGAAGGAAGCAAGCATCTGCGCCAACGCCGGACGAAATCAGCAACTCGGTTACAATACAAGTGCGCCGACCCAGTTTACCTGTTACTCCTACCACCACGCCATCTACTGGCAGTGGGGAAGGTATGTGGACATTATGCGTGACAATGTATGTCAGTGTAATGGGATTTGTGCAGCATTCGAATTTTATTGCTGATATCTGATGGAGGAATTAATTAGTTTGTTTTAAATAAATAAATTTATTAGTAGAGAGTTAAGAATTTGGTTTAACTGCTTATTTGTTTTTAAAATGAAGCTTATTCAAGTACATTGAGATATGTTTTGCCTAATTTTAATTAAACAGTCTTTCAGGTTTTGCCATGTTTGTCCATCAAGTTATGATAAGTTGCGAAATAGTAAAAACTCCTTTTACTGTAGTAAAGCATGTCTGATGAATGTTGCTGTTGTCTCAAAACTTCCGTGAAAGAGAATTTAACTTGCTGTTAATGTCGCACATTATTCTTTCCAACTTGGATTCCGTGCTTATTGTTACAGGGAAGCACAGCAACAAGAATGAACCGTCGTCAGCAAACCTGGCCAACAAAAAAGAAGATGGAAGACAAAAAGAAGCAGAGGAAGAGATGGAACAACGGTTCCAGGAGAGAAGGAGGACTCGCAATGCACGAGCGCAGAAAGCCACAGACAATGCTGCTCCCAGTGTATGTACTGCTTGTACTGATCAGCTCATTAAGTATTCACACAGCATTCCCGTTTTTCAGTAGTTTTAGAATAATAGATATATGAGACCATTTTCTAAATGTTTTGGTTAGTAACTTAAATTACACATTGAAATGACATATTTCAAGTAATAATTGTAGGTAAGTAATAAACACATAATCAAAGCAGTTGCTGTCTCACTGTTAAGGTATTTTCGTGCATTCAGAGATATCAGGCAGACAACGTCTGATTCGTGTCTTTCTTCGTAACGTATAGAATAAAGATGTGAATAGACCTGATACAACTGATCTGTGCCTGCCTGAAGAGAATATCAAGATTAAAGAGGAGGTTAAAGATCAATACAAGGTAGGCACAGCAGTAATTTCTCTACAGCTTCCATACGTGATGTCAGTAAACCTAGTATTAATTAATTATTTAATTAAATAATTAATAATTATTTAATTAATAACAGTGCTGTAAAAATGTGAAAAGATGGACATGGCATAGTAAACGGCCACTACATCCCAGTTATTTGTTTCTGTGATATCATTAAGATCAGAAAAGTATTAGTAGCTGTTTAGGTACCGCTGTGGTACTGCACACATCTTTTATCAACAGTGACCTCAAACTCGGAAGCTGTTTGCAGAAATTCAGGGTTAATCAATATTCACAGGGCCATGTATACAGAGAGATATTCTATAAATGTGTTAATAGTCACCATGTTTAGCTCAGCTTCGTCATGCATAATAACCAGTATGTGCGTTCATCCAAAACAATGCTTGCAGACAAAAAACATTATTACATAATGAATAATATAGGCAGTGTTTTTACTCGCTAATTTTGAAAGCTTCGATTCCCTGTAAGGGGCCCCGATTGCATGTGTGCCAAAGACTAATTAACCGTTGTGCAGTAACTATTCGCCTAGAATCACCTTCTATACGCATGTTTCCTGTTGCAATATCATTGCATTTGCTATTGGTAGGACCTGCTTTTTAATATAATGTAGACAAGAAAGTGTGACATTGGTGATAGTTCATTTTTTACCACATAGCTTAACGATAAATACCTTGCTCGAGGCGCTCAACGTGTGTTTGCCCGTGCAATCGCCATGTCAAACTGCGGGCAAATTCAGACAGCTCAGAGGATCATTGTAACCTTGAGAGTAACATTACTGTAATGGTTCTAATTCCTATTTAGGCAGGTGGGGCGGTAGGGCGGGAAGGGATGGCGATTCAATAAACAACGTACCGACCTTTGAGCGTCTGCCTGATGGCGATGTCTTATCGGTTAACATTGTTATGCCCATGATCAGTGGCATATTCAGCGACCCACCTGAAATCCAACGTCTGATCAGAAGAGATACGTATAGATCAGAAGTAGATAATAGGGAAATCGCCTTTTATCTACTTCTGGTATAGATCGATGCAGCATCTAGATACATATGATCATGAGTCCATAATAGAATTTTGTTAATCTTGAAAGTTCATAGTCGGTTTTCTTCTAAAACATTAATAATAACATTGTTCATAGTTAAATCCTTAAATTATTTACCTTGACAGTTTCAGCTGTCGTTCTGACAGCCATCTTCAGAACTTAGTAAGTTCTTCAGAACTTAGTAAGTTCTGAAGATGGCTGTCAGAACGACAGCTGAAACTGTCAAGGTAAATAAGGCCATAATAAAAATATTGTTTGTTTGTTCTCACCCGACCGACCCGCCAAAAATGGGCCGACTCAAACATTTTTATTGATATTTACCATTCTTTTTTTTATACAAATTGTATCACTGTACATTATATAAATCTGTAGGCAATACATTATATGTACCAATCAAAACAAACATTCAACATAAAAGGTATCTCCACACAAGCACACCCGAGCATGTAGACACTATGCTGAATTTGTAAAAAGACCCCCCTCAAAAAAAATGTTAAGCCTACCTACCTACCCAAACTTTTCAGCCTGGGTCGGGTGAGGGCAAACAAATATTTTTTTAATTGTGGTTTAATTTAAGGATTTAACCATGAACAATGATGTTATTAATAGAATTTTGTTATTATGGACTCTTGATATGATACATAGATACCAAGAGTAGGCCCTATATAATAGAGAGTCTCTATTATGTACTCTTGATAGATACATAGATGCATATAGATCAGGAGCTAATAATGACAAATTTGTCATTATTAGCTCCTGATATAGATGCGTATAGATTATTTGATGTACAAGCTGTTGGCTGCTGCCGGGGAAAACTAACCGGCAACGTTGTTACAACATCCTGAACTAGACTGAGAGCAGCTGTGGGAACTAGGCGTAGCGACAAGCGCGCGGATGTGGCACTTAGGGTGCTACAGCCACTGCTATATAAAACGTTATGTCCTGTCTGATGGGTGTAGGCCTATATTTAGTTCACAGATGCTATTCAAGTCGGTGAAGTTCAGTTTCCTGCCATCATTGTGTAGGAAATGCGATAAGCGCGCGCGTGTGTGCGCCCGCGTGCGTGCGCGTGTGTGCGTCCGCGTGCGTGCGCGTGTGTGCGTCCGCGTGCGTGCGCGTGCGTGCGCGTGTGTGCGTCCGCGTGCGTGCGCGTGTGTGCTTGCACGCGTGCATACTATCGTTGGTCCGTATGTGCATGCATGATGTGTGTATGTATGTGTGCGTGCGTGCGTGCGTGCGTGCGTGCGTGCGTGCGTGTGTGTGTGCGCGCGCGTTCGTTCGTGTGGGCATGACGTGTGTCGTTGGTCCGTATGTGCATGCATGATGTGTGTATGTATGTGTGCGTGCGTGCGTGCGTGCGTGCGTGCGTGCGTGTGTGCGCGCGCGCGTTCATTCGTGTGGGCATGACGTGTGCGTGTGTTAGCGTGCGTGAGTGCGCGCGCGTGAGGAGCTTGTTTGAATGAGTATGCATGCATGTGTGTGTGCGTGCGTGCGTGCGTGCGTGCGTGCGTGCGTGCGTGCGTGTGTTTAATTTGTGAATGTGTCTTGTCACTTTTACGAGGTTCTTGGTTCTTGTTCGACAAACAGCAAGTAATGAGTAGTCAGTGAAATCGTCATATATTATAGCCTACATCAAGTTACACTTGCAATTTGATCCAGCGATCTGTATGTAGCAGCACTAACAAGCCAGGTATATATATATATATATTACGACTCGTGATTAAGCGGCTTCGTATTTGTTGTAATTGCTCGTAGTGCAATTACTGCAGGGATTTGTTTCCAACCTAATTAATACTACCCCGGCATGTTAACTACAGTGCGGAATGTAGCTGGGTAGTGGGTGGGTGGTGATACGGGATACACAAGATTGGCGCGTGCGCCTGGGGCGGGGTGTAGCTACTGCATGTGTACACACGCACGCACGCACGCATGCACGCACTCACGCACGCACACACGCACACATGAGTATATGTATGCGTATGAGGGTGCCGAGTCTGTGGGGACAAGGGGGTGTGTACGCGTGTGCATATGTTTGTGTATTGTGTGTGTGGTGGTACGGGTGTGCATGTATATGTGGAGTTATATGGGAGGTTCTGGTAGATGTGCGTTAGGATATGTGACAAAGATGTGTTATGAAGACGTGAAGCTCTATGCTTATGGTCGGTACGATTAGTTGTGTACAGTATGAGTGTGTGAGTGTTCGTGGTGAGAATGCTTCGCCTGGGCTGGCGTAGAGGAATTCAGCTGTATGTATCTCTAGCATACCACTGCGCGAAGTATGCGCACGTAAATAAACACTCGACGGTTATCGTGTTGATTTCGTTGCACAGTGTGTGCACGGGCCGCCACTTTTCACCTGCTGCTATCCCTCTATAACCTTGTTTACTCTCCCTTTTTCTCCCCCTCTCCCTATTTCTCTCACTCGCTTCAGTGTGTCCCCGATGGACAAGTCCCATCGCCTAATCGATACTCCTATACCGATTCTGGCCAAAAACTTGCCTAGTCTGTATTTCAAGACAGTGCATCCATCCACCACGCTTGTAAGCAGTGCAGTCCAGTGTGTAGGTAGGTATACACTGGCTGTAAAATCTTTTTCGAATCTGTAGCCGGCAATAGAATAATTCCAGATGGCGGTTCCTTGAATTCAATAACGTGGCAAGAGAGAGATTTACATCGCAATTAAAAGTCTACTAAATCACCTCTCATACGTCTACACGCAAGTGAATTAAAGATTCTTCTTTGCCTTTCCTCATATGGGTGGTCTTTAAGACGTAAGTTTCGCAGAGGCGGCGTAAACAAAAAATAATATTTAGTGTATATATTAGTAACAGCTCGTAGCTTCTGGCTGTGCGCTAGACTGGATCACAGGCACTTGAAGCGTTTTAATAAAATATATACGCAGAGGTCGTGTGCTGTGCACGGCGCCAGTTAAATATATAGTTAACTATATATTTAACTGTCGCCGTGCATATAGCACACGACCCCTGCGTATATATTTTATTGAAACGCTTGAAGTGCCTGTGGACTGGATCCCCTCTCTCTGGATCTCTCCACCTCGTAATGGATCCATGGTTTGTGCAGAAACAACAACCCTGTTTAGCTGTGAGTGTGACCGCTTCATCCCCCCGATCAGCAAGATACGAAGATTTGTACTTTACAATTTTTCACCAGCGTATTATAAATGCTACTACGTACACCTTGCGTTGCTGGAGAGCCTATTATTGATATACGCAGGGGTTAATAATGACAAATTATGACAAATTATGACAAATAATGACAAATGGAATAATGATTTTGTTACTATGGATATGAATTTGACACTATTAACCCCTGATATACGTTCAGCGGAGTAAATCAACCGCAGGCCAAGACCTTGAGCTCGTCAAGTTGGTTATTGACATTATGGAATGAGACTATTCATATCGGAAAGCAATGGGTGTGAATCTATGCTGTTTGGCGCTGCCTGTTTGATAGTTTACTGGGGTGGGGACGGATTGCAGAAAACCGCGGAGCGAAAAAAATGCGACGCTGAAAGTTGTAAGCGGTAGCTTAACAACGTGGGTAAAAACGTGGTTGCTGATAGCTGCAGCTCTGCTATATAGACCTATACTAGGGAGCCGGTGGTGGCCTTCGCGCACGGTAGCAGCCAGCCAGCCAGCTACCGCCTCGGGGCATTGTACGTGAGCTGTGTGTAAATGTTTATCCATGACGCTGTGAGCTGACATATGCCGAGGTGTGATGCGCAGCGACAGATACCGTACATGTGGCTGCCACGGGGCTATTAAACATTAATTGTGACCAGAAGCTCGAATGTAAGTAGCTACACACCGCCGTAGGAGCCACTGTAGAGCCAAGTGCAATAGCTAATCAGATGATGAGCTGTGCTTGTACGTAGTACGACGTTATCAGGAGTCTATCAATATCTATTATAT